GGGCGCGTTGCCCGCGTCGTTTGGTCATGGAATCAATGTGGCACTCACAACGTGGCTCGGCACATTGAACGCAATTGCTATTATTCTAGACTTTAGCAGACATGACACGCCTGCACGCCCCCCGGGGCAGCAGCAACCCGCAATCGCGGCTTTCCAGCGTCAAAGGCAGGACCTCGAAGGCCAGCCCACTCGATCGATCATCCGCGGAGAGGCAGGTACCAGTTCTGACAATTGCACCCGGCGGGGTCTCAGCAGCGTCGTCTAACACTCCGGGTTGAAACCATGGCACAAATAACGTTGATATTCTACGTCAATTAACCGGGCCCTGCGTTTCACGAAGGAGAATCAAACTGCGTTGTGTCACTCTGTCTTGCAAGCTCCTCGGCAAGCTTACCCGCGTCTGCCTTTATCTGTCTTGCATGGCCATCGGCGGCGCGCTGTCAAAGATTCGCCTGTTGCGCGATCGCCAGCGCCACTCGTTCGTGCAATGGACAAGAAAGGATGCCTGAGCCGCCATTTCGCGCATCGCATCTTCCGCCGATGGACGAAGACTCCTTGTCTCTATATCCGCCTGTTTCAGAATTTAGCGAAGGTACATCCCTTTTTCGGCAAGTCCCCCCTACTTTCTGCAAGCTCTTCCAACTGCTTGTCCTGCCTATTGGTTTCAATCAGACACAGCTGAACTGCCCCCGACGCAACCTTCCAGCCTAGATGGGTTTGTTGCGCGGCCTGGATGGGAATATCTGTTTCATTGTGCGCGGCCCAATGAAGTTCTGGATCACGCACAATTGCGCGGCCAATTATTCACGGAACTCCTTCCCGTTGGCCATTATATTATAGATCCCTTTTTGTCTCCATTCCAGAAAAGCACGGTGGCGACAATTAGGTTCTGTCATGTCAACGCTTTCCGAGAAAATCCAATTGATATTACAATGCTGGCATACATGTGAACAACCCCCACACACAAGTCGCAAAACCCGAAGTCCTCGGGCCCAACAACCTACTTGTATAGAAGGGTTTTCCGAAGAGAACCCATGGGGTCCCTGGCCATTATTAAAACGAGTAGACAATATGGATGCCAGAGGCGATCAGAAATCGGCCTCCGAATGGTGATTCGTGGAAAAACATTGAAACAGGAATCGGCCCAGGAACTTTCTGTATTGCTGGACAAATCCGATCGTCATGTAAACTTCCAGCTAAGCTGGAAACCTGCATTGGCGAATCATGCACCATGTTTATGTAATCGGGTATTTTGCGACGTGTTGCTGCTGGCGTGTCCCCCTGTGTTGTTTCCCGCGTGCTCCGTGTGAGAGACGAACATGGCCGTTTCTATATCTGGTGGATGACATATCCGAATTCAACTTGTTCCATGACAGATGAAAGGTCACGACCCACGTTATCCTCACCGTCCACTGGTTAGCCAATGCCGAGGCACTGTCTCCCATCAGAACACAAAGATCGTCAATCAAACAATGTCAAACACACCCGGGATAATGAATATGACCAATGCGTTATCCGTCTGAATATATGAGTGATGGCGCGTGGCCTTCGCAGGTACAGAAACATTGTCAAAACGGTTTGTGCTGATTTGCGCGTCAGATACGATCACAAAGTTTCGGGTCGATAACCAATCACTCGCCACTGGGATGCGGCTCCTGGCAAACATGGGGCATGACGATGAAAGAAAAAGAGAGAGAGAGAGAGAAAAAAAAAAACAAACAAACAAAAAAGTGAGAACAAAAAAAAAGATGCATATATATATATATAGAGAGAGAGAGAGAGAGAGAGAGAGAGAGAGAGAAAGAGAGAGAGAGAGAGAGAGAGAAAGAGAGCGCGCGTTTCATGGGCGCTTGGGTTGGAAGCATTCGGCGGCGCGTTTCGGGCCGGGGGGGCCCACCCCCCCAACACTCGGCGCCGTCGATCAGAATCCCGGGGTCTCCTTTCCCCCCTGAACCCCCTTGTTCCCGATCTCCCCCTTTCCCCGGGAAAGGAGCAGGAGATACCAACTTCCCCGATGTGTTCTCTTCCATCTTCCCGGGGGGGGTCCCTCCCCTCCTCTTTCTCCTCGGTCCCGTGTCTGGCGCCTGCGAAGGCGGCGGCCGGCATCGCCAACCGCAGCCGCAACGACGATGACCAGAGACAGCCCAGAAGCCGCCACGGGAAAATACAAGTTGCCAAATAGGCCTTTGCTTCCCAAAAGCCACCGGGGGCCCTGACGAAATTCCCAGAGACGCTGAAGAGGCGCTCTGGAGCCCTCACACATGCTTCTCAAACGACCCCGGGATCCTTCTGACGAGACCCCAAGAAGCACCCCTTTGAACTACAACGCAAAGCCAAGACACGGCGACGGGAAGACCAGAAGGTCACACCACCACCACCACCACCACAAACCACCACACCACCACCACCACCACCGCCACCACCACCACCACAACAAAAGGGAAAACCACCATAAACAAGGAAACCACCCGCCACGCCCACCACACCAACCGCCACCACCGACCACCGACCACACCAACCCCAACTAACAACCTCCTACCACCCGCCCACCACAAACCCACCACCAAAAACACCACACCACAGCCCACCACAAACACCAACAACCACAGACCACACCCAACCACCTCAACCACCAAACACCGCACCACAGTACCACCACCACCATTCGCCCTACAACGTGCCACCACCAAAATCAAACAACCACCACCACCACAAAACCGAACCACAGTCACCACGGCCATGACGCACCACCCACCACCACCACCCCCACCACAACCCATACCGCCACCACCAACCACAAACTGCCACTAACAACAAAACCACAGGCCCACCAACCAACAACCACCACCGCTACCACCCCTAAACCCCATCCGCGCGATACCCACCACCACCATCAACTCCACCGGAACCAACCACAAACGACCACCCCACCAGCGACACGGCCAACCAGCACGACCAACCACAACCAATTCCACAAACCACCCTCCATAACAAATCCACTACCACTGCCACCACCACAACAACCCACCACACCACCACCAACCGCCGCCACAACCACTCAACCACCACATTCGACCGACCACGTGCCCCCACCACCAGACACCACCACCACCCACCGCCACACTACCACAACCAACAGTACCGCAAACCCACCACCACCACCCAAAAACCACCCCACCACCACTAACCACAACCACCAACCCCAGACCTACAAAAAACAACAAACCAACCACCACCACCCAACCCAACCACCACCTCCCACACACCACACCAACCGCCCCTTTCAACAACAAACCATAAAGTTCGCGACACAACCGCACCACCCAACAACCACTTCAAACCTACCACAACCACCGCCACCAACACCACCATCACAAACCCAACCCCACAACTACCACCCCACCACCACCACCACAAACCACCACACCACCATCACCATCACTACCACAACCGCCACCACACCAACCACCACAACCACCACCACCACACCACCACCGCCAACAACAACCTCACCACCGCCAACACCACCACCACCACCACCACCCTCCGCCACAACTACCACCACACCACCAACACCACCACAACCCACCACCACCACCACCTCAGAGAGGCCGCGAGACGCCCAAGAGGCGCCCAGGGGGCTTCTCAAATGCCCTTCGTAATCTCGGCGGGGCTCGAAGCCCACGCGAACGAATATCAAAAACGGGTCTCACGCGAGATGGCAGAGCGACCTCACGCGGCAGCTTCCGCGGGCCGCCACCGCGGCAAGCTGCATTGGAGACGCCGGCGCCAGCTCGAGGAGAGGGAAAGAGGAGGAGTAGGGGGGGAACGAAAGAGGGGGGGGGAATTCCCAGTCCCCCCCCTCCGTCACGGAAGAAAAGGACGGGGGCTTAAAACCCCCCCTACAATCCAGGGGGGGGCCGGCTCCACCCCCCCCTTTCAAGCAACCACAAAACGAGCTCTTTCGATGATTCAGCGAACGTACCGGTCTCATCGCTCATGATAGGTATATCAGATATGATCCGTTAAGGTGTGGGTTAATGAATACGAGGAAAACAAAGGAACAGAGGAGGAGAGACGCCGACGACACCGACGACAAGCCACAACCTTTCAACTCTCACGCCAACTGGCCCGCGGTGCACACGCTCGGCGGTACTCGTCTCTGGTGCTCGAACAATTGCGGCGTCGGCGGCTAGGAGCGAGCATGGATAGAAAAATATCACCTCCTCCTCCTCCTCCCCCTCCTCCTCCCCCTCCCCCAACTCCTCCTCCTCCTCCTCCTCCT